ACGCTCGACGGAACGCGAGCGAATAGGACACAGAGCGTGTCCTACGTTCGCTGATCCGAATCGCTCCTCTGGGACAGACCCGATCATTTGTAACGCGAGATCGTTATCTCCTCGATAGCACCCGAATCGGAAAGAACGTTGGAACTAGAGATCGTCTTCCATTCTCTTTACGATAATGATATTGCTATGATAGCGAAGTGAAAACGTACAAGTGAAAACGGGTATTTCGAAGGCCGTAAGCGTACCGTAAAGAAATCAAATTTCACAATTGATTTTGAAAGACAATAGCAAACTCGTTAAACAGTTTCAATTACTATTTAATATAAATGCTGATTATTAGTTCTTACCTCGTTTACGTTTGCAAAATCATGTCGCTCGCATCATAGGTGAGAATTCTGCGAAGAAATTATACCGTCGTACGACTAATGAAAAAACAGTGTGTGTACTCGAATAAGAAACAGAGAATAATTACAAAATAATTCCAGATGAATAATGTAGGTGTTAGACAGTTTAAAAAAAAAGAAATTGTCACAAAGATACATATATAATATAACCGACATCGAAATAAATCTAGGATAGATCTTTATCATAAGAAGACTTGCAAAGACTTGGTGCTCGGTACTTCGTCAAGATTTATTTCGAATGAAATGGTCACGTAGCGTCACAGAGAACCAAGACAACGAGCGCAATATGGAGCGAGAATTGAAGCCGGTATAATTTCAATGTTCTTAATGTTTGATGCTATAGATACAAACTTGATACAAGCTCAACATAAGTCGTTAAAAGTAACAAAAAAAATTTCGATACAATTTTCTTTCGCAATTATAATCGGGCGTAATATATATAGTTTTAGATTGTTTCTTTGCAGAAACATAACTTTCACTCTATAACAATCTAGTTTACTTTACTAATATTATAATATCCTTACTAATATTACTACGATTTGCAATATTACTATACATAATTACTTACAATCCTAAATTAGCTAGAGAGAGAGAGACTTTACATTAAGTATTTTCAAAAAATTGACTTACATCATTGTCATTACATCCACGGAGATCAGTTTCGCGCATCTATAGCATGGAAATCTAAAGTCAGCGAAGTTCTACCGGTTTCAATCCCGGATATGAACTGTGATTTAAACGCGTGCATATATTATATATTGTCGCAACAGCATGCGACTCGGACAATTAACGGAAGAAGCTCGGCGGCAGGAAGCAATAAAGTGTTCGCGTAAACACGTTATAACAAGCGATTGAACCTTACTTTCTACAACCTTTGCTCCTCGTCAATGATCTATCGTCCGAGTAGATAGATTCACGATACTCGAATTGAATACTTGCACGCGCTTATGTGACGCTTTATAAAGTGTAAAGTCGTCCGGCTCGACTACAACGAGTTCGCGCTCGGAGAGAAAAATTATTCGTAATTAGATGAAAAATTGCCGAGGCTATAAAATACAATTATCGAGAGTGTGTACATTCACCCTTAGATGATGAATTTACAGTGCGATTGCCATGTCGATTTAACGAATATGATGTTCGATTTAACTGTGCATAAGATATTTCCAGTTAAGTTTTAAAAATATTCTTTTTTCTTTTTTTCAAAAAATTGTTACACTTTGGTTCAGTCCCTTTTTGTAACAAAAATGATTTGGTCATTTAATTTTAATTCACAGAATGTACAATTTGTAATTTTAATTGTTTGGAAAGAAACAAATTAAAATTACAATTTCAAATACAATTTCGTTTTTCAAGAAGAATCAAGAACCGTTCTGATACATCTTATTCGCAGCTAATCCGTCTATCACATACACTTTATGTTTTTAAGTCAAGAGTTATATAAAGTACATGTACGAAACTGTTTTCATCGCTCTTCCGAGATGGGCAGCACCCTTTCGTTGCACCTTGACAGGCGTAAATGTATCATTGTGTAGGAAAGCAGAAAAATGTAGTCTCGTGTTCTTTTCCGTGCGAAACTTACATGCGACGTTACTACTGAGCACTAGGAGAGATTATCCTTAAGTACTAGGCAGTCAAGGTAATATGCAACAATAAAAAAGAACACCGTGTATGTATAATCTATTATCGAGTGATAGACACTGGACAGAGGAATTCGCCGGCGCTTGCGAGAGAAAACAGCAAAGTAAAAGCAAACTACGGCAGATCGACCTGCATTTTGGCAGAACCGTCCTTTCCGTGGCCGCAAGGATAGGATAATCAGGTACTAGGAACAGCCCCATACAGAGTCCCGATCCTTTGAGAAAGGAAAGACGCGATCGATCGACATTTGATATCGAGAATCTCTGTCGGAAAGATCTTCTTTTTTTTTACTTCCGCAGAAATCTCGTTTCAATTCATCGATATTTCTCGATCGAAATGAGCGAATATGTATATAACTATACACATCTATAATATAGAATTTCTTTCACAATACTAAGTGCGATAATAATGATTGTAAAGTCTAAGTCTAGGTCATATTAATAATCCCGCATTGCTCGGTGTCTGTCCCGATTATTACGTTTTACGAGGAGAATGTCCGCGGACACACGTGTCTGAGCATACTTAAGTATACTAATATACATCGTAAGTATATCGAAGATACCTTGGCTACTTAATGAAAAGCATTACGACCACCTAAGACCGAAATAGTTACGGTGTAATGATTGTTAGGAGTAATGATTGGTAATCCCAAAGGACGGGAATCTCCGCTCCGAACGCTGCCCACACGAGGATTCATTACGATTAAATATAATACACACCGTATATATAGATATATATATTAATTACAATAATTATAGTATTAAGAATTATGTTAATAGTTATTTAACCATGTGTATGGCTCAGTCTATTAAGCTAGTCTCATGCAACAACAACAATAAAGATACAACAATATATTTACTTGTGAGTTTATCGAGTTTCGATTCATATCGCTTATTACTCTTTGTTCTAATTTACTCGTAGATTCTTCCTTTTTTTTTTGCTTTTTTCCCCACCGTTTTCTTTGCCTGCGATCACCCTGTTACTACATGTACCCCACACATACGTCTTTGCACTCAATTTTGTTCACTGACGATAGAAAAGATTGGAAATTTCAGATATCAATCGGCATTAATCACTTTTTTTCAGTCCTCTATCATTGTAATATTTAATATAATAATTATGTATAAATAGACGTCTCACTGTTACTTTATAATCGTTTATAAATTTATTACTTCGATCTTACCGTGACTGTGGGAGCTTTTCGAGCGTATAATATGTAATCGCGAGCCACATGACCTCTCGACGGGAGATGAGAACGTATCGATATGAATGTATCAGCCGCGAGTGTACTCGAAACTATACCAAGTTGAAAAGGAGACAACGTATTTACAACCATAGGAGGACACGCGTATATACTCTAGATTCTATTGCGATGCGAAATTTCAGTGGATCCGTGACGGGCGGTAGCGGACATTTATCTTTTATCACCGAAATCGGTCGTTCTAGCTTAGGAACTATCGAGGAGTGAACAATGTAACTTGTGTGTAAAAAATCGTCTCGTTAGCCACTATTGAATTCTTAAATGTAACTCGGCGAGAAGTGACATGATAACGTCGATTTTTATATGCATTATTTACACATACGTACATATACATGTATACGCGGTAAGAAAAGGACGTTAAAAACACGTGGCTGTGAATTTTCGTTTAAACCCCACGTCGAGCGGCATGTGGCCCGGGTTCTGTTAACATTTTCTTTCTCTCTTTCCAAGCTCTTAAGTAATTATAAAAAACAGTAATATCACAAAAATTGCGCAGGCAGGGCAAGGAGAGGGGCCAAAGTTTTGGGATAAAATTATGACAATATACATATGCGATACCTATATTGCCAAGTTGACGAACGAGTGTGGATCGAGTCAAGGAGCGGTCACGGAAAATTTGTCCATTGCGTGCGATCCTTTTCCTCTTATTAAAAGGAAAGAGGCTTGCACGGCGCAATCTGTCGCGTATGCCGTAAAAACGCGACAGAACGATGCAGAATTATCCTTATTCGACGAGCGACGATGAAGGAATTTACCTTCATCGTCGCGTCATACTCGACAATACGTCGATTTTTCAATTCTTCGATTTTCGAAGAACATCTACTTCCTTCTTTCCTCATCTTGCAACTATAAAGAATGAAATTTTAATGTAATCCTTCTTTTTGAAAATATCCGTCTCGCCTGCGCTAGTTCGGTTCCTGCCAGTCGTTTAATCTTTTATTGATAGACTTCAAAGTTTGATTGACAATAGCGACTTAACGATGGTCAGTATTTTCTTTTTTTTTCCCCCAAGTTGTGCCGTTTCTTCCGTTCACCTTTCTCCTCTCTCATTTGGTCTCGATGCGTGTGCGAGAAGGTGAAAATTAAAACATAGTTCTTTCTTTCATATCTTAAAACTATTGAGAAATACCGCATTGTTGAAAAATCTCGCTCATGTTTAAGAGATGTGTACATATACTCAATTGTCAATAATACATTTTTTGTTACAAATTAATTATAGAAATTTTCTCTTTTTTTAAGTAACAACCGAGATAAAAACGCACATCACTTTAGATAAAAGAACTTGCTTACTTGTTTTAACTGGCCCAAGCAAGTGGGACTGGAATGACAGTCTGCTCTCTTCCTTCTCTCTCTTTTTTTTTTTTGAAAAACGATTTAAACGCAAGATTTCTTTATCCAAATGAATTATCGAGATCATTATATCGCGCTAATAAAATTAACATTGCCATAGATTTCACGTCATAGATTCGCTTGCTCTGTGAATCGCATCTGTAAATAGTTTTCCTTTTAAAAAATTTTTTTGATTGATGATTTTAAACTCGAGAGACTTCGATAGATTGGTAAAGATTTGAAAATAATCTATTATAATGATTAACAAAAACGTCCATTCTAAAATGTATTTATCTATATTTACACTAATACTAATGTGATACTAATTTAATATGTTTAACAAAAAAAAATCACAAAATAGTCTGTAAGTTAAAACATCGTATCATGTTGATATACGTACGTATACATATAAAAGGATGCATACTATACATATGTATATATATGTATATGCACGCATATATTTGAAATATGTTTTACACATGATGACAAAAATTGTCGCGTATAACCTAATATCACAATCAGCAAGGGAGAGAATAAAATAAGCAGAAAAATTTTGGTTCGAAACGACGGAATGGCACTTTCTGCGTTATCAACTTCATGTGTATGTTTGTTTTCTTCTCAACGTATAAAAATACAATATATATTCTCGAAAAACCCTCTGTACACTATGAAATTTCTAATAACGTACTCTATCTTGTATCATATTTATTATCAAATAAGTAGTTCTACCTTGTCTCTAAAACTCTATAAACACATTCGAATAATCTCTCGCTTCTGCGTGCGCGCTCTCTCTTTCGCGCGCTCTCTCTCTCTCTCTCTCTTCTCTCTCTCTCTCTCTCTCTCTCTCTCTCTCTCTCTCTCTCTCTCTCTCTCTCTCTCTCTCTCTCTCTCTCTCTCTCTCTCGCTCTCGAAGGAAAAAAGGAGTGGAGGGAAAAAAGAAGAAAGGATCAATATCTAACGTACAAATTTTCGATCACAGTATTCGCGCGATCTCTATAACGTGAGATCTATGCTAAAAATTCTTACGTTCCAACTGTTCTTGCAAGTTGGTTTGCTCAATAATAATATATAATATATATATCTAATTATATTAAAGAGCTGGGGCAGAGTTGGCCATTGGCGCCAGCATTTGTCACGTTTTGACATACGCGAGAATGAAATAACACTTCCATGTTCAGTGTTATCGCGGTAGCGCTAATAGAAACGCTAATGGAGCGTACAGAGCGTGTACGTTGGTACATCCGAGGTATTAAACCAGATTGCTGTTACGCGATACCTCGTTCCGCCTTTCAAAATGTCTAGTCGGTGATCCCCACAAAATTCCTCCCTCCCGCCCCGAAATAAGTCCCATCCCCGCCCACCCACGCTTTTACTTTTTCGGCCAATGCTTATCTCTTGTCGTTCTTGCCTTTTAGCTTCGACTCATTAACATTTTTCTCTTTGTTCCCCTTCTTTGTCACCCATATTGGCTGCCAAAGCTTAAAAGACACGGCATACCTTTAATCGTTTTACCCAAAAGCATGACTGTAACATACCACGATGATACGGTAACGACAACGATGTTGATGAGAAGAGGCCGTGGTTTCACCCACCCGTCCCAAACGCCCCTTGTTTCCCGCCCAACCCCGTTCGGCCTGCTGCATTAAGCGGCCTTCTGGAAACAAATACGAAGTTGTAAAAGGGAATCCTAGTCGATTTACTGGATATTTTTAGCAAACAATTTTATAGACAAAATATAATGTCTTTAAGAAAATCGTTTAACTTACCGCTTTTAGGCGGAGCTGTTCAAACGCCGTACATATTATGTAACCGCTCACTCAGCTGCGGCGGAAATTGATCGGAGAATCGTTTCCAATTCTCCTCACCTACTTGATTTTTGAAAGTAAACAATATCTAAACACAAAATAAGAACCATAAGATCACGTCGAGAAAATATTGAGTTCATCAATTGATCAGCTATTGTTTTACCTTCTGAAACATCTCCTTTAAATCCTCTTTCGGCGCAGACCACGACGCCACGGCGTCACAAAAGAAAATGAAATCCGGAACAACACCGGCTGGATTGACAGTGATCATTTGACACATGCCTCTGAAGGCAGAATCCTTCTCTTCGTTATCTCTTATGCTTCGCAAAGAAGTGCACCTATTAATAAATTAATAATCGACAATCTCATTAGATATTGTTCAACTTCCTTTAAGGGGAAAATACTTCGATCAATAAAACACGTGGCACTTTACAGCATTTATTTTAAAATTATTACGTTTTACTCGAAGACTTGCAAAAACGTTAACATTATCATTAACTTTATCCTAAATGATCGAAATATTTTTCTTTACATCATAATACAGTTACTTAGAAAGATACATATGTATATTTAACAATATGGCTCTGGCAAAAATTGAACAACTAGCCATTTACTTTCATTCCCACAATTCACACATAAATATTTTTTTTCAAATTGCATTCGACGGAAGACGAAACGATTGGCTTACTGTGAGGCCAGTCCAATGCGATAATTAGCACTCTTAGTTTATGGCTCAAGAAATTATCATTATTAGATTGTGAATAATGTATACAAAATTTATACATAATTTTCAAAGTTATAATTAAATCAGCACTGGTATTGATAGATAAAATTTGCAAATATACTAATTATTGCAAAGATCGATCTCTGACTTGTAATTTACGATGCTAGCCTAAAACAACTTTTTATGCAATATATCATACAACTATATTGGGTTATGTATGACTGGCGTCATATTTCACTTACTGTCTCATTAAGGCTGGGTTTACATTTGACATTTACAGCACATTGTATAATTAGAACAATTTGACAGAGATCGAGATGCCAAATTACCAGCATGCAGAATAAAATTTTTATAATCGAGCGAGAAAAAAACTAGATGTAAGGTATCCACGATCCTTCGAGTAATGTGGCAAAAGACTTGACGCGGCAGAACGCGGCGGCGATAAATAAAAGTGACAAATGTAAACCTATCCTGATTTTGATACTCGGATAAACAGGAGAGCTCGTAACAAACTTGCATGGTGGCAAAATAAAGATTAGAGAATTATATCATGTAACGAATTCAAATATAAAATGTTACTGCGAATACTGCAAAAAACCATTGAGCAAGTTCATGCTGGCAACTGCAGGATGGTAGTGTTTTCATTTATATTAGCATCCCAATCGGCTCGGCGGGGATCTCTGCTCTCATTATAACGCGAAAAAGAGAGAGAGAGTAAACAATCATTTTGCAGTGTGGCTCACCATTGTGTCCTTGCGCAAGAGTTCTTAGCAGCCCCTGATGCAATTATTCAGGAATCGGGAATGTAATAATGTATAATAATAAAGAGTGCTAATAAAAATAGAAGATAATATAATTAATAGAATAATAATATAATAAAGAAATTTACACACCACTGTCGAACAAACTGCTGTAACATGGGGGCGACGTCGTGGGGACACACATAACCTAGGCGACCGATCGTTATGGCTACAGTTTCATTTTCAGTTTCGGTAAGTAGACAAGTGAAGTGTAGTGAAGTGACCGGAAACACAAACAATAAGACAAACTGATAGAGAACCAACGATTAACTCAGGCGAAGAAGAATTATATATGCTCCGCTTGTAAGTTCCAATTAATAATTCTCAATTAATAATTTAGTTAATCAAGTGACATTAACAATTAATCGAAGACAGTGAGAACACAGGTGAAACATATGAGATACCGACAATGAAACATAGGCAATACCGTGCTATTGTAGCTGCTGAAACAATAAACAAAATTAGATAGCAGCGTGCGAGCCCGTGTGATTTTGTATAATACCGGACGGGATGTCCAAGGATGTATTCCACTTAACGAATGCAAAATTCACGTGCATCATTTCATTCTTTTTTAACATTTGATAAACAAGGAAAATGAAATTTTGCTCGCGAGCGTTGTAAATGCTAAGTGGAACGTACCCTCTAAATGATCTTTCTCTCTTTCTCTCCCTCATTCTCTCTTTCTACTGTATATGTATAAGAAATATATGTCAATATATAAATAAGAGAACAATAAAAAGGAATAACCAAATTTGCATTATGATCTTTTAAAGGCCAATTCAAACAATTCAATCAAAACAATATCTGGGGTTTAAAAATATATGCAAGCATATAGTATATACACATTGCAGTTTATATATATATATTATATATATATATACTGAATTGCGACGTGTATTTTTGTGGCAATACAGCCATATATGTATATATGTTCAAGCCTACAGGCAGTCGCACACCACTAAATCAAGGTTCAATATACAAATACTAATTACTTAAACCTGTCGATAATAAAACGTGCAGTCGCGATTCATGTATAACCACGCCAAGTCACTGAACTGTGTGGTTCAAAGTGGTTGCTCAAAAAATTACTTAAAAAAAAAAAGGAGAAAAAGAAATATACGTATTTATGCACCTAGAGAGCTGGGATGCCACCAAATATTTGATCTAGCGTGAAAAACAATACTCTAAAAGTTACTGGGAGACCTTTCATTAAACAATGATCGGAAGTACTTTCGGTCTATGATTGTGCATAACAGTTATTATGTCGTAAAGCGAATCTCTGCTAATGAGAAGTTTCCTAATGTGCACAAAGAGCAGCACAGTCGAGACGGAGTGTAATTGTAAAAATATCTTAAATCGACACACGGGATAGCGATGTATGTATGTATGTATATATACGAATCGACAGATTTTGTTATGTCGGCTCGACTTTCACACTACACATTGCTTTCTATTTGTTTCAAAGTAATGCTCGGTATATCATATACGGTATCGTTCCAAGAAAGAACTATCCGTAAAGATCGATCTAGCGACTCACCCGTATTTTCTAACAATGTTTTTGGTGTGTCTGGTCGATTAATGATTTCGATGAGCTGTGCCAAAATTAATGGGATGTACGCGCTTGTGTCAGGACCTGTGAAGGACAAACAAAATAAGTAAGCTTTATTTATTCTCCAGAAAAATATCGCTTTCGATATTTACCGAGTTTTATCGAAATTTCACCGATCGCCCATGTTGCGTTGTTACATACTGATATGAATTGCGGATGCAAGTTTTGTCCAAGTATTGGCATAAACTCCGCTGCATGTCAAGATGAAATTTATTAACATATGCATACTATACATATATCTGATAGATTTAATATCTAGCATCTAATAAATACTCACGTATGCAGGGGAGCACGTGCTGGAAGCAAGCTTTTGTAAGATCGCCTAATAAAGCGAAGCTACTCTGTCTGACTTCAGGCATGCTATCCTGCATACACTGATACAACAGCTGCATAACGTTGCTGTTCAACACTAGACGTTCCATGTGACCGTCCAGTCCTTCCGCTAATCCGCTGAGGAGGTCTAATGCAACTATCATAAAGTCTTTATCGGGTGCCTCAAATTGCTCCGGACTTTGCGTGCTCGCTATATGTTGATTCAGCGTTTGCTCCACAAGTGATACGCATCGCCTGCAAATGAAAGAATATTTTATCGTATGAATTTACTATACCACACTGAAATAATTTATAATAGATTGGAAAGTCAATATACAAAACAGATTTAGGCTCCTATTCTAAAACTCTTAATGATAGTAACGATATCGTTAATTGTCGTTGCGCAGGTTTTATATACAAGGGTATTTGGAAAATAATGATAAATCTTTTGCATAGGAGCAGAATGGACTAAACTGAGAAGAAAAGTCCTCTATCATTTTGCAATTTTCGCAATAGTTAACAAGATATTAATTGCTAAAGATTGCCGAAAATTGATCTTTAATAATTTTTTACTCAAATACTATCAACTTTACAGAAAAACTGCAAAAGACAAAAATTTATTTTCTTCTCATAGAACTCTGAGAATTTTTTAAAGAATTTTTTAGTACCGTACTTTCTCATGTTAGTAAAAATGAGAAAATGCAGTACTAAAAAGTTGATAAAAAATTCTAAAAAAATTCTTAAGGTTCTATAAGTAGAAAATAAACAATTTTCGTCTTTTTCAGTTTTTCTGTAAAGTTGGTAGTATTTGAGTAAAAAATTATTAAAGATCAATTTTCAGCAATTTTTAGCAATTAATATCTTGTTAACTATTGCGAAAATTGCAAAATGGTAGAGGACTTTTCTTCTCAGTTTAGTCCATTCTGCTTCTATGCAAAAGATTTATCATTATTTTCCAAACATCCTGTATAAAAAATGCACAATAATACAACGACATGAACATTTAAGTTATTGTGTACTAATAGAAATACACTGATGGAAATAGGCAAGAAACAGATAAATACAGAATTGAGGTATTATTGTCATTAAGAGTCAAGTTTTATATCTACGATGTTAGAAATCGGTCCAAGATATCGAATGAAGAAGGAATTGACCAATCACATTGGTCATGTGATAGAATTGTTAAAATGTGATTTGTTAATTCTTTGTCCGAGATCTCATATGATTTCTAGTATCGTGGACACAAAGACTTTAATCTGGTAAAAAATTATGTTCGTCACGTATGTACATACCTGTATACAGGTTCGCAATACGGTAAGAAACCCGAGCGCAATGCGGTCGCTACTGAAGAAAGACATTCCAGCAATGGGAATAGATCTTTATCTTCATCCTTCAATACGTTCCACTTATTAATAAGAGGCGGCATCAAAAGATTGATGTAATCTGGTCTGTTTAGATGATGACCAACAGAATCAGCGAGAGTACCGATGGCGTCGTATAGAATTAAAAGATTCTTATGCTGATATTTACCTATGAATAGACAGTCGTATTAATCAGATATATCTTCTAGACTAAAACAAGGTAAACTAACTGCTTGGTGTTTTACTTACTGAATGCGAAGACGAGCGTTTCGAGAATAAATCCAAGATAAGGAACCAATTCGGTACATGCTTCTTCCTCCAAAGTCGCAAAGGCAGAACATGCCGCCTCTTGAACACGTTTGTTACTGTCAAGCACTCTTTTGAGCAGTTCCGTCATTAGAGGTTTCAAATGCGTCTCGTGAGGTTGTGCACAAACCCAGTGCGCGTAACGGCTCAACGTCCAGCAAGTTATGGCACGTACAAGAGCCTTTTTGTCACTCAGACAACCGATTAGATAAGGGATGAGCTCCGATAAATGTGGAATCATGCCGCTCATACAACCTGCAAATATGAATCAAATTTTACTCGGTTCGATTAGATTATTAATTAATTAGTCTTTATTTATTTATATATTAATTTATAATATACTTTAAGGAGAAAAATGTGCGCGCACCTTCAGCGATAGCTCCCAGTGCCAAGATACCGGATTCTTTGATCTCCCAGGACTGATGGAAAAGAGTCTCCTTCAAGATCGGTACTAAAACCGGTAGAAGCTCTTCTCTAAAAACATTAGCCAACATATCTAACGCAGCGGCAGAGCACTTCCTCAAGTTCCAATCGCTCAAAGTTGAATCATCATCGCATCCGTCCTCAACGTCTATATCCTCATCGTCACATCCGCCGTTTATCCCGTTCTCATCGACAATGGCCTGCTTGCCCATACCGTTAGCGTGATGCGAGTGATGTGTCTTAGATTTGTGAAAACGTGGTCGGATGTCCTCTTCCCTGTCTGGAATCATTTCGTCCTCCTCCACATCTCCTTTGAGGAGGATTATGTCAATTTCCGAATATTTCATACCTTTCACCTGTGATAAAAAATGTTAATAGTAAAGTCAAATAAGACGGAAGAACGATACTTGGCCATAAATTTAGAAGACAACTTACCAAGATAGGTACTAATCGTGTCAGGTGTGGTGCAAGTGCCTCTTTGCAAATTGGTTGCTCCGCTAGTGACAACCAAAACTCACAAGCCTCCAGTGCCACTCCCTCGTCAACATCCTGAGTTCTCATTAGCATATATTCTATTATATTGTGCATATGTGGTATTAATCTGTCCATCCGTACCTCGAGCAGCATTACCAGTGCCCTACACAAAAAATGAAAACACGAAAGATGAAAAATATAGGAATTCGTCTTCCTGTTAGAGATAACAATAAAAAAAGACAAACATATTACATTCTCTGCAATATACTATTAACTACCTGCATACGTTTTTTCGGACCTCAGAATCATCGTCTGAAGCTAAATGGAAGAGATTCTCCAAAAAGCTGTCTATATGTATCATAAGTGCTTGCGTGCGTTGAATGATGAACTGATTGACACACGCTATCGCGTGGGACCTGATCTTGGGACTTGAATGTCTAAAGAATTGAAGGAACTTTGGAATCAGAATGTTCAACGGTCGATTTAGAGCATCCGAATCTAATATCTCTGCCGAATCCTCGCAAATCTTCTGGAGAGCGCCAAACGCACCCTCACAAACGTTGTAATCTTGCGAGTCCAACATTTGACACAACGCTGGCAACAATTCTGGCCAAGTCGTCAATTCACCTACTCGTGGAAATTTCAACCGTTAAAAAAATATAATATGTATATCTTCGCCACATTTTCTGGAATGTAATGAAAGATGATATACCTCTTGATGCGACAGTAGTGATCAAAATACCGACGGTCGCACGAATCAGCGGTGATGGATCTCCGACAGCTGACAGACATTCTTGCTTTACGAAATTTATGACCTCTGGTACAAATTTGTGGAAGTACGTCTTTACATTGTTTTTCAATATCAGTCCACTCAAAGACCTAGTAGGTTCGTCTTAACAGAAAGAAGATTATTAGTTTCTATTTAATGCTATAAAGATTTTGATGTGGAATCACAAGTGAAAGATTTCAAGACAGCCCAATTGGAGAGTGACATTTAATTTTGACATACCTTCTGATGTTAATTTTGTTAGAACAAAAATCAGGTAGTTGTTGAAATCCGGGAATTTATTCAATTCTTCCAATTTCTACTCAAAGAATTCTAGTTAAGAAAAATGTAACAAGAAACTAGGTACTTAACAAGATATACACACAAATAAAAATTCATAATTATTCTTTAAATTCTTTGGAGTGAATCTTACTCTATAACGAGTGAAATTTGAGTCTTGACAAAGAGAGTGGCTCAATTTTCAATCTTAACGAGTGAGATTAAGTCTAAAAGTTTTAGAGAGTATATATTACAAGGCCGATTCGTTTCCCCGAAGAGATAACAACAGTCGTAAACGCAAACCAGTCATCGATAAAGCGCGCGATCGCAACGCGATTCGGCACGGCTGCAATCTATAGGCGCGGGCGGTTCGTTTACGCGGTATGCCCGGCAAGAGAAGGACTCCCGCGAAAACTATCGATCAGAGGAGCCGCGCGCTGGGAAAACAAGTCCCCCGCGCGCGCGAGCGTGCAAACGAGCCGGAGTCCCCGCTCAGCTCCGTTTCCTTTCGTTCGACACGGCCGGGACATGCACGGTCAGCATATTTTCATCTTTGTGCTGAAGACGCGTCCGGCACGCTCGATTCCGAGCGGCGCGGTGCAGCGACTCCTCGCGACTCCCGAACGCTCGAGGAACATCGAGGAACAACGAGCGAACGATCGTTGCGAATTCGCGACGCTATCGCGAGCGAGCGAGCGAACGGGAGCGAGAGAGAAAGAGAAAGGAGCGAGCGCGCGCGCGCGCGTCCGCGCTGTCTCTTTCTCCCGAGCGATCTCGACATGGAGATTGGCGTTCGCGCTTAATTAATTTCACCGGACCGTTTCCGGACGGGCCCCGAATGCCACGCCGGGAAAACGAACGCGGAACGCGACGACGGGACGGATGAGCGAGCGGCGTGGCTACGCGCGCCGTCGCGTCCCTTTATTTTTTTCCACTCGCGCTTCACTCCGCGGGGGCCACGTATGGGCGAGAGCGACGATACACCACACCACACGACACGACACGACACGACGGTTGACGGCGACGGGCACGAGACACGAGGAACGTCGTTCTTGGACGTCAGACGAAAGGATACTTGTTGTACGGCCCGCTGAGTCGCCGTGTCCGGGCTCTGAGACTCCTTGAGCAGCGTCAGAATTTGCCTGAGTCCTTCCTCCTGTGGTTGCCACGCCATTTTCATCGTGTTTTTCAACAGCACCACTGTAACGCGCAGCCTGCCTTCTCTGACCTCGCAGATAAACGGAAGCTTCCTACAGCGCTCTCTTTCTCTCCCGCCCCCTTGCCCCCGCCGGTCAGCCAACCCCCTCTGCGAACTGCTCACTGCTGAGCTCGGCCAGGACCGTGGTCGCGCAAGGGGGCGCCACGCCCTTCCTCCGCGCGCCTATGTCGCCTATACCGTGGCGGGAAGGGAGAGACTCGTGTTTCCGTTTCATAACCGCCCATTTATCGGCCCTTTTTCTCGCGTGTCTCCTTCGGGAAAACTCAATGAAACCGGATCGC